CCTGTATTTCCCAGCACCTGTACTCTGCTAGCCCTGTACCTACCCAGCACCTGTACTCTGCCAGTCCTGTACTTACCCAGCACCTGTACTCTGCCAGTCCTGTACTTACCCAGCACCTGTACTTTGAATATGGGTCGAGTTCATCGTAAGTGATGAGGTACGACCTGAGATTTTCTTTCCAGTAACCAGCACACTTGAGCTTGTAGTCAGGATCAGCTGTTAAGGCAAGAGAAGAGCTGTTAGTGTTGGTAGGGACACTGAACACGGATGACTTATTCTTGTTGCAACAAACAGAAACATTAAGAGGTAAATTATCATTGTTGGTAAAGATTATTTCAATGATTCTTTCAACAATATGGCGAATTATATGCTAGGAAATAATCAACTAAATTTACAAGGCTATTTTTATATTCACAAAAAATTAAAGCAAAGGCAAGAGAGGTGCTAAAGGCAGAGTAGAGACCTCAGGAGAGGAAGGAATGTGAAAAAAAAAGAAAATATAGAAGCTAGTTTCGTCCAAGAAATCACTTTCCGAGAGGAAAGTGACGACATAAGGGCGTCGAATATAACAGAAAACATTCTTCGTTTTTTTTTGATAAATGGGTCACACAGAAAGCATGAAAAAAAGTCATTCTGAAAGGCACCGGGCCTCTCTCCATGAGATGGGCGTGAGAGAATCGTGTACTGCCTATACACAAATTTCTAAAAAACTGTTTCTAAGTGATGAGAGGAAGTCGATCTGAAACACTACTACTGTTTGATTTATAAACAGTTTGATGGTGATTAATGCCAATCAATTATGCTAATAGACATCATGAATACACCAGAGACAGACAGGGTATTCTAAAAGATAAGCTAGACAGGATAGAAAATAATTGAAAAATAATATCCCTATGGAAAACTGGAAGGTACTGAACCACAGAATGAGCAGAGAAGCCAGCAAGCTCCATGTCTAACGCCAACATGTCTAGGGATTCGGTAGAAGACACTTAGTTCTAGTCTGCTGTAAAGGTGAACGCCACCGTTAATGCAAAGAACCAAGTGATGAAAGGAATAGAATGATAAATTAGACACATGTGGTCAGTCCATCAAGACTGATGGACTGACCACATCGACTCAAGGTTGAGGGACTGATTACCTCATTCTCCTCCTGTTCTTCACGATTCTCCTTTGTATGGACTGACGAAGCCACTGTGTGGAGAAACGTTTCCTCAATAACGATACCCAAGAGTTGCACATGTGTCTAATTTATCAACGTGTCGGTTCTCTGAACCATTCATCTACAAGGAATAGAATAATTGAATTTCTTGCAACCCAGAGACTACGTTAGAGGAAAAGGTAAACAAAGAAGCAATGCAGATTATAACAGCAAGAAGTGTATAACTCTGCCGATACAGTGTTAGTTGTAAGCAGCTCAGTACACAACATCAGCAGCATATGGGAAGCCACTAATGTACATAGCAGTAGCTTGAGAGGGTAACTGAAAATGCTCAAGCAAGAACATGGCTACAGGCGAGACGCTGGTTTTACAATAGGAAATGGAAGGACAGAGAAATGCAGTCCACTGAGACCTCAAGGCGGGAGTTTAAGTACTTAATTGGGTAAGCTAAAAGGGGTGAAAGACGGGAGGAAATAAACACATACTTCAGGTAGGGAAAATGGAAATAGAGACGATTAAAGGTGGCAATTCTAATAGCATTCGTTAGTATCTTGTAGATCGGATTATCATGTAGAACAGTGTAGGGAACACGATAGGCATCAAGGTAATCTGAATAAGTTAGCAACATAGATTCTGCATACAAGCGTTACATTGGGAACGAACGAAAGGCTTCGTGACACGAATTTAATCCATAATCATAACATCACGTTAAGGAAGAAGAGAAGGAGAAACGTAATAAAATTTCCTGGTTGCCATAGTCGAGCTATTGTGAAAACCTGTAAATTCAGTTTGTCTAAATACGCCGAAACGATATTCGGCAGTCAAATAGACATATAAATCTAAATATATGGCTAACCACAACAGAGTATCAATATAGGAATAGTATATGATGAGAAATGACAGGTCGATGTATAAAATGAATTTTTTTTCTGGACACTCACACATTGTGGCGAAGTCACCAGTTGAATGTTTGCACCTGCATAATCAGTAGTGAAATCAACTACATGCAACAACCATGCATTAATGGTCATGCACAGAGGCATGACCATTAATGGTAATCATAAACATGACCATGTTTAAAACCCTTGAGTAACACCATTAACTTCAACTCTCTAGGGAATATAATTATTTCATACACGAAAGAGTCGTCGATTCGCCATAAAATCCCCACAAATCAAAACAATAGCTTGCAAAAGATGTATTGTATGGTGATGTAAGTCTCCTCATAAGATTTTTTTATTTTATTATCACACTGGCCGATTCCCACCAAGGCAGGGTGGCCCGAAAAAAAAAACTTTCACCATCATTCACTCCATCACTGTCTTGCCAGAAGGGTGCTTTACACTACAGTTTTTCAACTGCAACATTAACACCCCTCCTTCAGAGTGCAGGCACTGTACTTCCCATCTCCAGGACTCAAGTCCGGCCTGCCGGTTTCCCTGAACCCCTTCATAAATGTTACTTTGCTCACACTCCAACAGCACGTCAAGTATTAAAAACCATTTGTCTTCACTCGCTCCTATCAAACACGCTCACGCATGCCTGCTGGAAGTCCAAGCCCCTCGCACACAAAACCTCCTTTACCCCCTCCCTCCAACCTTTCCTAGGCCGACCCCTACCCCGCCTTCCTTCCACTACAGACTGATACACTCTTGAAGTCATTCTGTTTCACTCCATTCTCTCTACATGTCCGAACCACCTCAACAACCCTTCCTCAGCCCTCTGGACAACAGTTTTGGTAATCCCGCACCTCCTCCTAACTTCCAAACTACGAATTCTCTGCATTATATTTACACCACACATTGCTCTCAGACATGACATCTCCACTGCCTCCAGCCTTCTCCTCGCTGCAACATTCATCACCCATGCTTCACACCCATATAAGAGCGTTGGTAAAACTATACTCTCATACATTGCCCTCTTTGCCTCCAAGGACAAAGTTCTTTGTCTCCACAGACTCCTAAGTGCACCACTCACCCTTTTCCCCTCATCAATTCTATGATTCACCTCAGCTTTCATAGACCCATCCGCTGACACGTCCACTCCCAAATATCTGAATACATTCACCTCCTCCATACTCTCTCCCTCCAATCTGATATCCAATCTTTCATTACCTAATCTTTTTGTTATCCTCATAACCTTACTCTTTCCTGTATTCACTTTCAATTTTCTTCTTTTGCACACCCTACCAAATTCATCCACCAATCTCTGCAACTTCTCTTCAGAATCTCCCAAGAGCACAGTGTCATCAGCAAAGAGCAACTGTGACAACTCCCACTTTATGTGTGATTCTTTATCTTTTAACTCCACGCCTCTTGCCAAGACCCTCGCATTTACTTCTCTTACAACCCCATCTATAAATATATTAAACAACCACGGTGACATCACACATCCTTGTCTAAGGCCTACTTTTACTGGGAAATAATTTCCCTCTTTCCTACATACTCTAACTTGAGCCTCACTTTCCTCGTAAAAACTCTTCACTGCTTTCAGTAACCTACCTCCTACACCATACACCTGCAACATCTGCCACATTGCCCCCCTATCTACCCTGTCATACGCCTTTTCCAAATCCATAAATGCCACAAAGACCTCTTTAGCCTTATCTAAATACTGTTCACTTATATGTTTCACTGTAAACACCTGGTCCACACACCCCCTACCTTTCCTAAAGCCTCCTTGTTCATCTGCTATCCTATTCTCCGTCTTACTCTTAATTCTTTCAATAATAACTCTACCATACACTTTGCCAAGTATACTCAACAGACTTATCCCCCTATAATTTTTGCACTCTCTTTTATCCCCTTTGCCTTCATACAAAGGAACTATGCATGCTCTCTGCCAATCCCTAGGTACCTTACCCTCTTCCATACATTTATTAAATAATTGCACCAACCACTCCAAAACTATATCCCCACCTGCTTTTAACATTTCTATCTTTATCCCATCAATCCCGGCTGCCTTACCCCCTTTCACTTTACCTACTGCCTCACGAACTTCCCCCACACTCACAACTGGCTCTTCCTCACTCCTACAAGATGTTGTTCCTCCTTGCCCTATACACGAAATCACAGCTTCCCTATCTTCATCAACATTTAACAATTCCTCAAAATATTCCCTCCATCTTCCCAATACCTCTAACTCTCCATTTAATAACTCTCCTCTCCTATTTTTAACTGACAAATCCATTTGTTCTCTAGGCTTTCTTAACTTGTTAGTCTCACTCCAAAACTTTTTCTTATTTTTCAACAAAATTTGTTGATAACATCTCACCCACTCTCTCATTTGCTCTCTTTTTACATTGCTTCACCACTCTCTTTTTCTCCATACACTCTTCCCTCCTTGCATCACTTCTTTGTAAAAACTTCTCATATGCTAACTTTTTCTCCCTTAATGCTCTCTTTACATCATTCCACCAATCGCTCCTCTTCCCTCCCGCACCCACTTTCCTGTAACCACAAACTTCTGCTGAACACTCTAACACTACATTTTTAAACCTACCCCATACCTCTTCGACCCCATTGCCTATGCTCTCATTAGCCCATCTATCCTCCAATAGCTGTTTATATCTTACCCTAACTGCCTCCTCTTTTAGTTTATAAACCTTCACCTCTCTCTTCCCTGATGCTTCTATTCTCCTTGTATCCCATCTACCTTTTACTCTCAGTGTAGCTACAGCTAGAAAGTGATCTGATATATCTGTGGCCCCTCTATAAACATGTACATCCTGAAGTCTACTTAACAGTCTTTTATCTACCAACACATAATCCAACAAACTACTGTCATTTCGCCCTACATCATATCTTGTATACTTATCCTCTTTTTCTTAAAATATGTATTACCTATAACTAAACCCCTTTCTATACAAAGTTCAATCAAAGGGCTCCCATTATCATTTACACCTGGCACCCCAAACTTACCTACCACACCCTCTCTAAAAGTTTCTCTTACTTTAGCATTCAGGTCCCCTACCACAATTACTCTCTCACTTGGTTCAAAGGCTCCTATACATTCACTTAACATCTCCCAAAATCTCTCTCTCTCCTCTGCATTCCTC